TTTCAAGTGCAAAACTTGACACCAACTTATGATGGAATTCCATTCCAAACCACGCCAATGCCTAAAAGAAAGCAACCAAGTAGTAAAAGCTTGCGCCAGACAACCACAAAAATGCGAACGAATATTTTGGCTGCTTAATACACGTTGACAAACTAGCAAATTTTTAAGAGCATAAAGATTTTTCAATTTAGTGAAGAGTTAATAATATATAATAATATATAATATAATATAATATACCTAATATAATATACCTTTTTAGCTACATGAGCGAGTATTAAAGTACAGCCGGAACAGCATGAGAAACAAAAGTTTTATTTGGCAACTTCAGCCTAAGTGAACGCATTGGATTTAACTTGATAGTATTTAACGTACAAACAAGCTTCTAAAGGCCACACCAGGGGGATGCTGAGGCAAATGCGTTACTTCGATGTAGCCACCAGAGTAAACCACCGCAACTAGGCAAGTCGCTGCCACCAGAGGCATCTGAATAACCGAAATAGTTGGTTAGCGAATTCATAGGGAAAACACCGCCATAGCTGGGATAGCCATAAGGCAGGCTTGCAGCGCCATTTGAGAGGAAACAACACTAAATCAGTTGGATTTTAAGCGATGGTACTCAGAAATATGTCTGCTCGCTGAGTATATTATATATATATTAACCAGAGGCCTATAACGTTTTTAGGCATAATTGAATTGTAATCCAATTTAATATTTGATTTGGGAACCGTCGCTTCACTTCGTTTTCAAGTATAAGATTAGCCTTAGGCTTTAGCTAGCTTTACTCTAATATTCACTTTATTTAGCAAACTTAAATTAAGGACAATAAATTGGGGCTAATTTGAAAGTATTAGCGGCCGTAGAAGCTACCATAGCCGCCATTGGAGGACGATGCTGAGGCGGAAGCGCTGGCACTGCTGGAACCACCGCCGCCACCGCGATAACCGCCATAGCCGGGATAACCGCCTCCGAAACCACCAAAGCCGCCAGGAAAGCCGCCGCCAAATCCGCCGGGATAGCCACCGTATCCACCAAAGCCTCCAAACTGTGGCAGTGCCTCCAACACGCCAAAGAGCGCGATTATCACCACAAGCAAAACACTAACAGCTCGCATTTTGGGTCCGATCTCAAATGAATCTACTTTGAAATGTGCGTGTCCCGCTATGGAGGTGGCCCATTTTATACAAAAGATCGTCTCAGAACTGGATCTGTGATTCAAGCTGTATTCTAATCACTTGACTTAGGCCCCCTTTAAGAACCGGTTTGAGGTTACGGTTTTCGCTCTGTGTTCAATTAAGCTCGGCTTTGGGAATCACAGTGTCTGCTGCTCTGCTTGTTTTTTTTTTGCTTACTTTTTCATAATATATTCAATTACGTTTTGCTCGTTTTTGTTTATCACATTCACAGGTGCTACAAAAAAAAAAAACAAAACAAAAAATAGAAGTAAAGTTTGTAAGCAAATGTTAATCAACCCATCAATCGGGTTTCTATACATTTCCAATTTCTATTCGGGGAGCTTTTTTCAGACTGTCTGACCATAATAAAGGTCAGATATACACTTGAGTGTAGTCATAAATATCTATGAGCAATCATGGAAATATATATTACTGAAAATAAAACAATTATGTGTTGATCATGTGATGATCATGTTAACCCAACCCGAGCTTCAAACTTCAAACGTCAGGCGTCAAACTATTATTAGATATTCAGAAAAAATAAGGAAGTTAGGTTGGCTTTCCATTCTATTGAACTATCATCTGACAAAATTGTTGAATATGTCCAATCACCAGGGTTGCGCCATCATGTATGTACGAAACTGGGTTCAATTCTGCTCGGCATTGTTTCCGGAAGTGCTCGGGCAGAAGTGGAGCGGATATAGATTGCTAAGTAAAGTTCCCTATACATTATATCAAATGGAAAAGACGCCAACTGTATATATGGTTGCCTTTGGAACGCCTTTTTTGCTTAATTGTGAAGTATTGGAATTCAGGGACGACTTGTCAATTAAGTGCATAACAAGAATGAGCTTAGAGTTCATAGTATATTTTGCCCGATCTCAGATTGAATGTGTTGATCATACGTTTGCGCTGACCAACGACTTACTCGCTAGCTGCCTAGATAGCAAATTTGATGTGGGTAAAATGCACGATTATAGCATGGATTTTATAAACAAATACTATAATAATTTTACGGTGATGCTCTATATAGAACATAGGGAAAATCCTACTGCTAAAATATTTACCAACAAATGTTCAAACTTCGATTTTAATATCTGGCTAATATTGTTTGTAGCAATATATTTGTTTATAGTGATTTTTCGTAAAAAATTTTTGTAAACACGAACAGATAAAATAGAAACACACCAACAGATAAATAAATAGTGGAGTCAGATAGAAAGCTTCGTCACGCAAAAACAAAGAAAAACTGGTTTTTTAATTGGCCTAAGAAGGTTTCTATATATATTGAGAAATTCGCACATATCGACTAATTAAATTGGGAAACACCGATTTGAACTGAGCCTTGAACTATATTTCTCAGCTCTTATAAGTCGTAACTCATATATGATATGTTCTTCCATACGATATCATAATGCGACAGCATTGTCTGTGGTTGGCTCACAACAAAACTAGGGAGTATTCGTCATTGCACACATGCTTAAGTACCACACAAATCTCATCACCCTTGTCATATCTGTATAGGTTTGAGTAGCTGTCAAGAAGACTGCCACTGCAACTTCAACTGCAACTGCGACTGCGCATCGGGTCGGGTCGGGAAGTCTTTCATCTGACAGAACAGAGGGCAATGGAAGTGCCTCCTGTTGTTTCACTCTGTCAGGCTGTGTCACACTATGTAGGAGCTCTCATTCAACTCTGTTTTGATATATGCGTATGAATAATTGCTTTTTAACAGAGACAAAATTATCACGCAATTATATAGAATGCGTGCAATGGGCCGACTAAACTGTGAGTCCTTCTGCTTTGATAGAGTATTTTGGTTATAATGTTTTTTTGGCAATGAGATGATACTGAATAAGGAGACTTCAAATTTCGCATCTATGTGATAATACGGGATGATTGAGGCTTAAAGACCTAAAGCGCTTTCATGCAGGCAGGCTGAGCGCTTGAAGTCGATTCGCAGCCGCTGCTGCTGATCAAGAATACTTATTTATCAAGGGGGCGGCCACGATTTCTTCTGGCTGTTAGATACATTTTAATCAAGCCTGAATCTTAAGCTATTATAGTAATGTTGAAATATGTTTCCAGCTGCATTCGATACATAACTTAAGTTTCTCTTGCTCCAGGGACAGGGTTGCCTTGTGGGTACTGGAATTTCTTGGACAACATTTGATTTGACACAAGTTGAAACTGCCTTGGTTTCTCTGCGTGCCTCTTACTCTCTATTTCAACTTACATTGCCTCAGCTTTGCCCTGCAACATGTAGCATGTCAGCAAATGTCGTGGCTCGGTTAATTTGCCATCCCTTGACGTCTGTCTGCAACTATTTTGCCGCATCGCAATAAAGGACAAAACGCATTTTTGCCTTTGTGCTGCCTCTCAAGCCATATTGTCATTTAGTAAATATTGTAAAAATGTGGAGACTACACACACACATACACGCGTGGGCACACCCTGATTCCATTTCTCTTACACTTGCTCTTTATGCAAATTAGTTGCAGATATCGCTTACATACCAAATGTTAATTTGCATTTTTTGCGGCCTGTCACGCTGGCCTGAGAAAGGAATTTTTATTTACATTTAAACTTTTTCGTAGTACTTGTTAACCTTTTGTCTATTAAGCAAATGGCACACAAGTGAACACACACACACATACACGCAGACACATGCCAAGGAAATTCCCTGAATGTTGCCGTATTGTTTTGTGCTATTATATTACAAACTTATTATGCCCTGAATCCATTGAAAATGTATGAAAACGAAGGTGGGATAATGCGAGCACATATCGTAGATATTTAAGAGGCTTTATATTTTGTAATATATATGGTCGAAGAGCTATGGAAATCAACACAGTTACTGCACACATTTAAGTCTGTAAAGAACTTTGGGTTTTAATATATTTTGAAGATATCAAATTTGTCATTTGACTTTTCACAAAGTAGCAAATAGCAATGCCGTCTGATACTTGAGGTATCTTGTAGTCGTGCAGACCCGCTTATAGACTACTCTCACTTACTTATGTATGGACTTGCGTGGAGGCTTTGTTGTATGATAAATTAGATGGGCTTTTAGAGATTTGCACGAAATCCTTTGGGAAGCTGCTCCAGCTGGCGGTGGCTTTAACTCTTTCTCTCACAACAAAGTATAAAGTCATTTGGAACTTAATCTAAGTTCCATAAATGCCTTAATTTACCTGCTGTCTGAGACAGGTTTCAGCATATTGTAGTTTCCATTCATTATGCCAATCTGTCCTTTTAATTGCGTTGCCCGCAAACCTAATGTACTTGAATGCTGTTGTGGATTGGAAAAGTTTACCAGCGTCTTTTCCTTTTTGCTTCTCGACTTTAATTAAGTTTTATTATACAAATTTACACATGCGTATGATAGACACACACACACAGATGGGCACACACATGTAAGTCTTGTAATCATAGGTATGCATATGAATTTTTAATTAATTCATCTATCAAAGTATATAATTAAATCAGCGATGTTAATTTGGCAAACCTGTGACAGCTAAATAATTGAAAAGCTCTGAAAGGGCGAATTATGCATAGTTGATGATTATAAATTGGCTTGGTTTTTTCCATAAACGGTTTTTTACCCATTTATATGTATGAATATTTAACCGTGAAACGCAATTTAAACATAAGAAAATGTAAAATGAACTTTGGATTCTCGAACCGCTGAGCTCATTCACATAATTTTTAGCATATTTTATTTAATGGTCTACTATATAAATATAAATATTAGTCAGGTAAAAATTTCATATAAATAATATTAAGATAATGCAATTGTGCTAATTGAAATACATTTGCAATGTCCACCGTGTGCCTTATCAGAGCGAGGGATACGCATTTTTCGCATAGTTTACACAATAGTTGGGCGCTCCGAAGAAGGAACACACGCCATTGGCACTGCTTGGAGTCGCACCGAATCCTCCATAGCAGTTCGTGTAGTTCTGGCAGGAGCGCAGCTCAAGTGGTGCAAAGTTCAGGGCGTAGGCGCCGGGTGGTGCACTGTGAGTCAAATTTGGATACTTGTGCATATTGTTGGGCACTGGAGCTGGCACCAGCTGCGTAGCCGTGTCCAAGAGCGGACGACCGAGGCTGACGCTGCGCTCATTGCGTCGAAATTTGGCTCGACGATTCTGGAACCAGACCTAAGATGGATTGGGGCTTACAAATAGTTCTGTGTCTCAGAGTTAGACTGAGCTTACCTGCACACGCGCCTCGCTCAGATGCACCTTGGTGGCCAGTTCCTCGCGTACAAATGCGTCAGGATAATGGGTACGTTCAAAGACCTTCTCCAGCGCTGTTAGCTGTGCTGAGCTGAAGGTGGTGCGATTGCGACGCGGCTTCCTGGAGTGCCCCGAGCTGAGATTGTTGGGGTAATCGACGGCGCCACCACTACCGCCGCCACAACCGCTGACGCCGCCTACAACGGAAGACAATTATAGAACGATTAATAAGAAAATCTTTGGCTTTTATTAAGATTCGTGGAAGACCCATAAATAATCGATTAGAGCCCGGACATATACTATTAGCTTGACAGCCCAAGAATTTTTGGGCACACTTTTATGTTTCTGAACACATTAAATTTTGCATTCTCGTTGATCCTTTCGCTGGCTCTATACCCAGCGGGAAGGTCATAAACATTTGGCATGGGTCATAAAATACACTTATCGACAAACGTATGTATATTTCAACATGGTCGCGCAGCTGTCTACTAATTTTAGGTGGCAAGCCGACGAACAAAACAAACGCCACAAATTTACGATCTATTAATTAAACTGAAATTGTGACATTAAGCGAACAGCTACTTTCACTAATTGATTTCAGACGAAAGACAAAGATGACAAAAAAGAGCAACGAAATAGAATAAGCAGAGTGAATGCATAAATAATATAATTTTATATGCAAAAGACTTTGGCTACAACCAGAATCCATTCAATATGCCTAAGAAAGGTTTCAAGTCTTTGGACAAAATTATATAAAAGCTAGTAGAAGGAATCGCACAACGATTTACTTATTTTTAGAAATCATAAATTTTCTCTTTAAATTGCAGAGTCAGAGTCTAAGCAGCTAACAAAATATTCCTCATTCAAATCGTTATGCATTCATAATAGCTATTGTGGCAAAGAATTTCATTTTTAAAGGAAAACTTGTAGTTAAAGCAGCCACAGACACAATATTCATATCCCTTGTCTTAGGCTTCGTACGAGACCTATTTTAATCTGTTAAGCATAAACTGGAATTTAAATATGAAAACTACAACAAAATAAATCTATGCTAATAAGTTCAATTTAAACTTCATCTCAGCATTTTCCGTTTCCCTATTCAAATTTATACGACTTTGCTTTGTTCACACAATCATTTCCTTATTGTACCGACCATTAACTCATTTCTATGTTATACTAATTTTAAAATTCTAAAGATCGTCAAATTATACATTGTAATAATTATAAAATTTATCGAAAAAGTTAGCTTAACATAAAACAACTATAACTACAATAAAAGAAAAAAACTTAGATTACAAAGTTATATTTATAAAGTTTAAATAATATAATTTAAAGTGTATATAATATTTAGTTTAATTTGCAATTGACCTCAGCATTAGTTAATGATGCGATTATGCACGAGTTTATGTTACAAATTTCATATTAATTATTATTATGTTCTTACAGACAGTTGGAGAGTCAAATGTTGAATAAAATAAATTCCTAATTCGAGTAAAATAATACTGCATTTTTAACAATAATAAATAATAAGTATGTAGCTCAAAGATATAGAAAATCATATATGCATCTGAATCCTTAAAGGCTTGCTAACACTTCTCGCAAAAGGACGCAGCTATGTTTTTATGAGTATCATGTTATATAGATATGTATTGCAATGTGCGATGCTTAGCTCGTAAATGATAAATTTGAATTGAAATGAGCTGAAAATTTATGATATTATGCGTACGCATGCCAAAGGCAATGGATGCAGATCTCTATATACATATATTTATGTGTACGCATTTATATAGCTAGATATTGTGATTTATTTAGGTAGCTGCAACTGGCTGTACACTTGTGGAGAGCTCTTGCATGACATCTAGGTGCCATATGTGGGCGACATTCGCTCATTTATGCCGCCGCCAATTGCACAACCAAATGGATGACAGCCTCATCTTTGTTGCTTTGCGAAAAAGCCAAGGAGCGTGCGGGTTGGCTCCGGTTCGTCTCCTGGCCTGGTTTTAGGCCCGTGCTGTTGTCAGCGGCATAATTTGCTATGAAATATACGCGTCTCATTGTCATTGCTGGCAATGGCAATGCTATCAGGAGTCAACTCTCAATCGTTGGCCAGGCACACAGTTTTTGTCCCTTTTTGTCCCCTTTTCAGCTGCATTTCCGACTGCAGACAACACTTCAACATTGTCAACATGACAAAACGTAATCAAAGCTGACATGATATTCCCTCAGAGGACGCATGCCTTTGAACAACCGAAGCGCCAAACAGCGCGGCCCAACGACTATATTTTCCAAGTGGAGCATAAAACGACCAGCCAGTCGCAGTCGCAGTTGCTGTTGCAGTTGCAGCCCCTATCCCACGTTTGCTGTAAATGGTTGAGACCAGAGAGGCGTGTGTTTATTTTTATCATTGCTCGGATTGTAACATGTGCCAGTCTTCAGTTCGACTCGCTTTCCATTTTCCTTTCCCTTTCCCTTTTTCTTAACCATGCCCATGCCCATGCCTATCTACAAATCTGATTGAGGTTTCCCTTTCGATTTGGAGTTCTCGTGCTTCGTTTTTTATTTTATTTTATTAAGCTGCAACTGTTTTTTATCGCTCGTTGCTCGATTCGCTGGCAATTCAAATTAACCAGCTCGTTTTCCCACTCCTCCCCTGGGACCCCATGCAGTTGTTCTTGTGGAGCGCCTGGCCTGATCTACGATGCCATCCCGCGGACAGCTCCGCTGACAAATTGAGACAAATGGCGTGGGTAAAAGATTTTGTTGGGTTAAGTAAAAAAAACCGACTACACGGAATGTATAGCCTGATGATTGCCACCCTGAAGCAGACGTGTGGCATGTAGAGATGATAAACTATGAAATGCCTCCAAACTACCTTAAGTGAATAGTAAACTATAAAATTTTAAAAATGTATCAAAATTTTTTTGCAAATTCTATTTTGGTTTATGAGTAAATATTTCAAACCAATTTAAAGGTATTCTGAGGTGATAAAATAAAAAATCTATCTTACAGAAAACATCAACTTTCAAAACATGAAATAAGTAATAATTTCACTAATTTTTTAAACTTCTGGTTTGATCGGGGAATCATTATTCTTAATTCGTAGATGTAACTTTTTTTTTTTTAATTTCATTAGTAAATTAATTTTGAATTTACTATAAAAATCTTGATAAATATTTTCATAAATATTTTTATTCTTTGTACTAAAACATTCAAATAAGCACAATACTCATTAAAAGACTAAAAAATTTTGGAAAATTTGGGTTTTTGTGATTCGCCCTTGTGGGCATGGATATAATCACTATATAATTTTCTTTCTTACACCTTTCTGTTATGCAACATATCTTATTTTTAGATTTACCACTCCTCAGGTGGGCGTCTCTGGAAAATCTTGTCACTTTATCAGACCTTATCTTACATTGCACAAAATATAAAAATACACTTTAAATACGGGAATGATTATCGAAATGATGATGCTACTTTAAAACAAGGTTCTTCAGATATTTTAAAAAATTGTTGAAAATAAAGTCTAAAGACAAAGAATGCAATTTAGATGTTTTAATTGTTGTTATAACCAAAACTCAAGATATATCTAAAAACTGAAAAATATAAACAATTTTGTAATAAAAGATAAATGCTTTAGTAAATTATATAATATTAAATTATATAATAAAATTATATAATAAAAATAAATTATTAAAATAAGTCAGCAAATTGTAATTCTATTGGATAACTAAGAACTTATCGGAAAGGTTTAGCGGGTTATGCAGGGACTAGAATTGAAAATTCACGTTTTTCGAATATTTTTGGCGTAAAAACTATCAAAAAGACAATATTTATTTTCGCTCTTAACTGCCTTTAATTTAGAAGATTTTAAAGCATCATTATTTGTCAGTTAAATATCGTATTTATTTTTTATGAACGTTAAATGTATCCGAAAAATGAATGATTTTTATTTATGGCCTAATATATCTAGAAAGTTTGACATGATAGTGGTTCTCGAGAGGGTGTTTATTAAATTAAGAAATTATCACACATGTATTAAGTTTCGGTTTGCAATACGTTTGGAATTCTCTGCATATTGCTGTGACGCATTCATTTTAGCCTAGTTTTCTGTTTAATTAAATAAACTGTAACTTACCAAAGTTATTGGCCAACTCCATGGATAATTTGCTCTTGGCGAATGCATCCTGTTTCAGTTCAATGAGATTGTCCACGGTGAAGCGATGCATTTTCTCGAGCTCTCGGCGATTTGTAATTTCCTTATCCTTGACATAGGAGGCTTGATGCAGCTTCTCTTCCAGCTCCACAGGCTGCCCAGGCGGTGCGGCATACGTAGCCTCGATGGATGCCAAGGTGTGAGCTGCCCCGGAACCGGGTCCGGATGCATTGGACGTCACCGACGGCATTGTCGAGGCGGCATAATAGAAATTGCCGGCATTGCCGACGGGTATGGAATGCAGCTGCTGCTGATAGTTTAACATGGTTGGTAAATTGAATTTAAATTCTTGTACAAATCACTTGATCAATCACTGTTTTGCCTAATTGGACAATTGTTAATAATGATGAACGTAATGATGATGACAACGAAATTGTGAGGCAAGAGCAAAGAACACAATTCAATTAGGCATGCGAATTGTGAGTTGAAATTCTTCATTTGTCTTTCTAATTGGATGCTGATTGAATTAATTTATTTTGTTGTCTCATTGCGCTGCATCTTCGGGGGCATCCTGCGCGAACTTGGTTAATTGGATTAGTACACAACACATAAACGAGTTAATTACGATAATTGTCGCGACGATACTAAACCGTGCCAAAGTCGTGTGCCCACTGAAATTAGCCTCAAGATGCGAGCCTCCTCAACATATCCATCCACACACAGAGGCACACATGTTTCCACTCTTTTCATCTCAAGTATGTTTGCTCTCGTTCTCTCACGATCTCTAATTATAGCAGCCATCTGCCATTGGCCGATCTCAGCAAGATCAACGCCTGCATCCGACATTTTGAGTGGGCGTCGCCGTTTGGAGAAAAACTCAAATGAAATACGAGGTGAAAAGTAGCAACAAGTTCTGGGCATTTAAGTGGCAATAAATACCAATTAGTGGTCGGATAATGCTCCAGTTGCAGTTGTCCTTGCTGGGCAGCTGTTGTTGCTATTGTTGCTGTTGTTGTTGTTGCTGTTTGTGTTCTATTTTCACAGGATGCGTTGCATCATGTTCTTGAGTTGCATGCTGCGCATAAATCTTGGCACGCACAATGTTTGTCATCCTTGTTAGCTAATTTCCATAACCACAACATGATGTTAATGTTTCAAGCCATTGCCAGGCATGTTGCATATGTGACAAGCAGCGAAACGGGGGCAAGGGGCGTGCGACGTGGGCGGAACTGTCAGTTAAGTGCATTATACGGCTGCTAGTGTTGTTGATGTTGTTGGATCTCAATTGCAGTTGCCGTAGGTGCATCTTCAACATATTTGTTGCATTATAATTGATTCCGTTGATATATGATCAAGAAGCAGAGTAGAGAGCATGTAAATTTGGCTCATCTCAGGCAGAATCCAGTCATGGAAAGTTAGCTAACAGTTAACTGCTTAACACACATTTGCTCATTAGACGCCGCCACAAACTATCTACTGAAATTATAATATTTCTGACAAGGCAACTCTCATGCCCTCAAATTGAGCTGTCACAGAAGTTTATCCAAAGTACTTGACACTCTACTGCGGCCTCGATGTAGACCGGCTTTTGCCGTGGTTCTGGGTTTGGCTTCACAAATTATCTCACGTTTTCGTGTTCAAAGTTCTTGAGAAATGTTGCGGTGTGTATTTTTAATAAAACTTCAAACTTTTGCGCTACTTGCTGCGCTTTACAATGTCTCTCCAACGTTTTTCTTCAGTTTCAGTTTTGAAATTCTTTGTCACGAAACATTTCTCGCGTGCAACTGAAAGCAGTTGGGCGTGGCCGGGTCCTAGTAATACGTCTTACCTGTAAAAAACACACACACTCACTTACACATATAACACACACACACACATATATATAAATATATGTATAAAAAAAAAACAGCAGAAATTCTTCTGGCAACTTGGAAACTTGAGCAGACACTTTTAATGTTGTCAGATAGCAGAAAGTAACTGCACTTGGCATGGTCACAGTCGAGCATGAGCTTGGGTTAGCCGGAATGCCTCTAACAACGGACAGGCATCTCAATAATACAGTAGGAATGCTCATGATGTTGAATTATGTGTCCAAGCCAGGCATGTGTGTGTGTATACAACCGTATTTAAATTTATGTAAAGAATTGTGGTTCTATTTTATGGCTGCTCCCAAAAGTATGCAATAAATAAATATTTTCCACAAGTTGCCAGGAAAGAAAAATTCCATTTATGTTGTTGGCTGATTAAACTGAGAGGCTCACTTACCAATATTGAATGCACTTTTTGTGTGGCTAAATAAAAATGAACAGAATATGTATATAGACAGATGCAGAGCTGCTGCTCTTGGTGCACTTTCCCAAAACTTTAACTCTGGCGAACACCATTTGAATCATTCGCCGTTGCCACTTTTCACATTTCACATTTCACAAGTCTGCACATGTTACGAAATTTTCATAAATACGCCATTATGTAGAGAAGTGGGTGAGGTGGGTTGAGGGGATTTGCCATCGTGACCAAAACCGCATTGTGGTGTTTTTCGTGTTGTGCGGTTATGGGGCATGCAACATGGCAAAAATAAATTGCAATTCACGAACAAACTGCATGGAGATGTGTGACAACAGATACGACGACGAGAATCATGCAACACGTGGGGCGGACCCCTGGTCAAATGCTAATTAAAAACCATTCACGAGCGAGCGAGATGCCAACAGCAGAGGGTGTTACTTAACACTGGCAACAATAACCAAAAACCAATACCAATACCAATACCAATACCAATCTCAATATAACCGCACAGCGACATCGATTTGCATAAAATTAAACAAAGTGGCACATTTTCAATTTTGGTCTGATGGAATCACAGTGGCTAAGGAATCGAAGCGATAAATATTCAATGGCCGTTGACGAACCCTGCCAGTTGGAGGAGAAAAATAAGAAACCAGAAGGAGCCTATGGCCTTCAGCCTGTTGCCCATAAATGTCCAGCTTCAGATGCCAGTTCGGCACTCATAAATTATGCAAGCGATTTTAAAATTGAACTCTGCTTTGGCTCAGCTCTGCTTATTTCATGGTCACATTGAAACAAGCTCGGGGTGTTCCAGCGAGTAGTGCTCAGCTCCAAAATACTTTATACACGAAGTTGCCAAAGAAAACCTGATAATTTTACCTACTTCTAGTTTTTTATTTAGACCTAATCATGTGGCTATCAAGAATGCTATAATCAATATTAAGAATGAAATATGAGCGCGAATCTGCTTACTCTGCTTGCCTTACAAATTCGCCTAGCTCAATATACCCACATATTAGAATGGATACAGGATATAAAGCTCGGGCAAAAAGGCTTGCTGCTGACCCAACTCACAAGTAACTATACGCTTCATGTGTAGGTGTGGGCGTTTGTTTGTGTGTGTGTGTGACTAACGAAATGGACATGTGGCCGTTTTGGGAGGGCGTGGCAAACTCTTAGCATGCTTTTAAAACTTGCTTCTGCCGTGGGGACTGAAATATTCATGCGTTTCATATAGTTTCGCAGGGGCCTATGTCACAATAAAAGTCAAAAAGCTTTTCGTGCCGTAATTGATGTAAATCCCCGCACTCCCAGAAAAAGGCGTATGCTGCAGCTGCAGGCCGTCAGGGGGCGCCACAGTGTATGCACATGTAATTGATTTTCTGTTTACGCAACTCCCAACTGCTTGGTGTGTGTGTATGTGTGTGTGTGCGAGTGTTTGTGGTATGTCAAACAGCACGCATCCTGTGTGCTGCTTCCGGTTATTTCTTGTTATTATATTTCATTGCCTGCTGCATAGACGGCATTCGTATTGCGAAAAACAAAAAGAAAATGAAAGAACTTTTCGCAGAGTAAGTTTTCTGCTAGAAATGAGATGGCGCGAATGATGGATCGAGGGGCGCTCTTAGCTGGAGGGGCATATGCCAACACTTGTTTTCTGTTAAGTGATTTAGGCAAAAGTTTTCACCCTTCGCTACCCGCTGGCTGCTGTCAGCCAGCGTTTCGTTTGGTATTCGTGTTTGGCATTTTGGTTAGACGACACGCTCGACGTGAACATTGAAAGAGGGTCGAGGGATGTGGTGTGAGATGTTAGCTGTGAGCTGTGACGATGGTGCGGTGTGTAGCTGTTTTTTGAAATATCGGAAATGTTTTACAAAACTTTTGCCAGCTATAAGTTGGCTCACTGAATAGCTGCCACATAATCGCCGTCAAGTGAAATTCATTTTCTTGACAAACAACATGAACTTCAAAGACCACGTTTCCAACTGCCCGCCGCCCTTCTCTATATGCGCTCTCCTCGCGCCTCTCTCCCAGGCCCAGCACTGGGTCGGTCGGCCCAGTTCCACTTTCTGTTCACGCGCTTATTGCTGTCTCTTCCGACAAGGAAATTGAAATGCTACGTGTGTGTGCAACATTTACACCTGGCGGGGTGTGGCGTGGCTTAGCCTATTAATTGTGGCTGCAAATTGATTTAACCGCCAAATTACTGTTAGTTGTTGTACGTGCGCAAGTGCTTTAATCTCTTGAGTATGATATTGTAAAATAATTGATCAGAATTCAATGTTCACGCGATTAATTGTCTGCAAATAGCAAGGAAAAAAGAGCAAATCTGAATCTCTGCCAGCTGCCATTGTGATGTCATTAGTTGATTGCAAATTTCCAATCAATTTGTATCTTATACTCTACTTTTTGTTATACCCTCTAGCCAGGAAGCGCCCCAGGGGGTGAGCGCATGCACAATTTCTGTCTCGCGGAAGTTCAATATTGGTTAAAATCATTTCAAAATATGCGTTTGTGGACAGGGTATCTCCAGCTTACTCCTTTCACTTGCTTCTCTTAGCGCTTTTATTTATGTCAGCACCGCTCGACTCAGTCAGCTGCAAAGTCAGCTCCATTTAAATTTCGCTCACGTTTGCTGGCGGATGAACTGCAGAAAAGAAAGAAACGCGAATGGAAAAATCAACGGATACGGATGTGAGGTTCCCAAACCCGAGACTCCGGCTGCCAACTGGCTGGCAACTGGGTATTGAAGCCGTCGCCTGCAATCAGATGCAATTAGAGCGCCAAAAAGCAAAACAGTCAACCGTAGAAGAAATGACACTGAAATTGAATTTACAATGACAAGAAAAAGCAAACAAAAAAGTGCAAGTGATTTTCAGTTGTTACTTCAGTTCCAATTCGGGTCAAGTGTTCGGCTGAGTGCCTGAAGATGAGCCCGAGATATTGCTCACAAAACATGAGTGTGTTGACAAAATGCAATCATCCTAATGTGTAGCATTTCACGTGATTAATTTCGCTTTATTGACTAGACATTCGAGTGAAGTGCGCTGTCAAGCCCTCAAATGCCCATATGCTAAGTAAGCCTTTTCAGTTTGTTCTATGGCCCACTTGGCTACCAGCTGAACTGATTCAGAATCATGCCTGAATTACTCTTTAAGTGCGACGCTCTAAGATATTTATAACAAACAAGCTTCGGTGTTGCCTCTATTTTTACTACGGCCTAAATGATTTCCAATTTGATTTATTAAAGTACAAATCAAGAGCATATTAAATAAGAATTTGCGTATGCCAAAAATGATTTTTAAATTTGTTTGGAAAGCTGTTACTTTGAACAGGAGACTAAAGCACATTATTCTATATTTTATAATATAATATATAAACAAGAAATCTCCTACTTTCCCCTCTCTCTCTCTCTCTTTCTACTTCATTTTCCATCTAAAGGCTTTGAATTTGAGTGGGCTTCATCCTAGTCGCAGACTCATCTTTTCTTCACTCATTCCCTCGCCGTGTTCCTCTCAGTAAATTCATCCCATCAATTTATGGATTTCGCACAGAAAGGCGTTACTTTTAGGGCGTTTCATTTATATTTGAGCTCAAGCCTGGACAGTTAGAACGAGTATCTTAAAACTTCTGCGCACTCTGAGGCATCTCGAGCTCGCAAGCAATTTGGGTGCAAGTGCACTTCACAGTTACCGCTGCAGCTGCATTTGCATTTGCATTCGCAGCATCGCAGCATCACAGCTGGCATTGAAATAGAAATCATTATTATTGTAACCCACTCAATTCAGTAAGCATTCATTTAATGCCAGCCCGCAAACTAATGAGTGGGCGTGGCAGCATCAACCATTATATATATATATCATACATACCTTAACCAGCTCAGGAGAGCATAAATCAAAGTGCTGCAACTTTGTTGTAGCCACGGAGTTTCTACTTATTTTGGTTGGGAATATTTCGTGTGCAGCGCTTAGTGAAACTCATGCCCACCATGGATTAGGCCAGGATGATATACGTTTCGCGCGCGTGAGCAGATTCCACATCCAGCTTTGCGCCATAAAGGTAAAGGCATTTCCCTACCGCCCACGTCGCCCACCTTTTTATGACAAGCTGTCCTCCATTGCCGTTCCGGCGAGGGCACTCGCTGGCGTTGATTGTGTGACGCCAGTGCCGCATAAAGTCAGCGCCAGGTGGCGCCAATCTCAATGTGAGTTTGTGTTCGTCTCTCTCTCTCCTCCTCTCTGGGTGTGTATGGGTATCTGCAGGTGTCTCTACATTAAAAGCCATAAAAGATTCATAAAATGCATTTCGCACGCCGAAACCAAATATGCCGCAACATTCACGACGCCACATCCATAAATACGAACCATATACGGCAGCAAGCGCCCATACAGACATAAATTTTAAAGTTTGTAATGTGCAGGTGTTCATAAAATGTATTTACGAGCACCGGCTTGTACCAATGTGAGGTGTGCAGATGCTTGTACGAGCGTTCCTTAAGAGGCTTTGCGCCCCAAATGATGGGACAGTTGCATTTTTAACCCTAATGAAAGCAGCTAAGAGCACTAAATAGCCAACCTTTCCATAATGTAAATATTAACACAACTTATGGCCTCTATAAGAGAAGGTTTGCTTATCATTTGCAAAGCATTTCGCTTAAGCTGCGAGAACTTTCAGCGTCTGGAAAAACTTTATCACGTACGCGACATTTGGCAATTGCTGAAAATTGTGCACAAATTATATCAATTTCGAAACGTAATCATTGAATCTTATCAATTTTCTGGCTGCCTCTCCTCTCTACCCCTCGACCATGGCACAGACATATCCGGCCAGACGGAGACGTTGTAAAATGTGAAAATCAAATATTTATGATACTTTTGAGCAAAAATTTTCTGGCCTTCGGCAAAAGCAAACTACAAATTTTCTTTTTACACCACGTCCTTCGTATACTTGCCCCCGCCCAACAAACTTCGTTGGCTGAATCCACGGTTTTGCCTTCGGATTTATGTGCGTGCCTTTTGAAAATTCAATTTAATTTTCAGTTTTTCTAGCACGGGCCATGAGTTTTCCAATGCATGAGCCTCGACTCGCGGATGCCTCGAATACACTTTTTTTTCTTTAAGTGTATGATTTGATTTCGAAGGTCTGCGCGTTCAGGCAGTTGCACATTTCTCTGCGATTGCTGCATAAACTTTCCCAATTTCATTGCTCTCAGTAAAAAAAAAAAGGTTTAGTAGCTCTGGCAAAGCTATTGCTGAGATAAGAGTCTAATTGTTGTTATTACATAATTACATAATTACAATATCTTTGTCACGAATCAAGATTTTGATTACAAAAATCCAGCTTAGGTTATGGCCTTTATAGAGCTTGTATCACTCACATGATTTTCACGTCATTCTAAATAAAGCTTAAGCGCCATGAGATATATTCTGAAGTCGTCTTTATATATCAACGGCCCTGAAATAAAATTGGTTTGTTGATTTTGTACTGAGAGTACAAAATATTATGCTAATATTCCAGGCAGACGAATAGGCGCCCAAGATCAGCCCTCTCAGTTAGGAGTGTCTTTGCTGTCTAGATTGGACTAGTTTTATGCATAGTTATATTGACATACGCAGCAATGCAAATAAGTACATTAGCATAAGCATCGGTCCATCTGAATGCGGTCGTATTGATAACAAAGATGTGGCAAGCGTTAGCCAAGCCAGCTGTCGGGGCCAACTGACACTTTAAGCCAAGGAAAAGCAACTCGCCTGACCGCTTCGATGTAAAGCATTTGTACATATTATTCCAATCGGGGCATTTTGCGGAACATGTACTTGGATACTTTGGATACACATAGATAAGCCCCAATTGAAGTTGCATTTGCCACTTGAGCGATGCTCGCAATGCCTCATTCCATTGGATGTGCCAGCAGCGGCAGCAGCAGCAGCAGCAGCACTCACTGTCCTGAGTGTTGTCCTTGTCGTGCTGTTGGTTTTGGCTCTGGCTTCCCAGTTTGAAAATGCTGCAATGCATTATGCTAAAATGTCATTGCGTGCTTATTGGCGTTACGCCCGTCTGTCTAGCTGTTGGCAATGCATATTGCCATCCGGATGAAACAGCGACTTATGCTAAACTGACAGCCAGCAGCATGAGCGCCAGTCCTGCCGGAATGCTCGTGGAAAATTGAATGGAAGCTCGTTTATTTTGTTGCCATTTGCCATTGTGGCAAAGAAATTGACGCTCCATCGAGCGAGCGCTGCTGCGACAGGATTTGTCAGTGTCGTTGGGCGTGCCAAAGTTGCCAAGTTATAAATGCCTGGCAATCGCAACACAAAGGATATCCCCAGCATTACCACAAACCCAATACAGTTGCCAGCCACTGTATGAGACTGTCATTATCGTTTGGCTTGCTCGCAATTACACATGCCATTGACACAGTTACCTCCATATGGTTGGGATGCCTGCTTTCGGCTCACCTCCCCCATTATTCTCGCAGAGATACCGAAATAAATGCCAGGACATAGGCTCTGGTTACCTTCTTTTGCCTCGGCTCAACTTCAAACTGTCTCTGTGCCTCTGTCCAAGGAATATTGTGTTTTCTTTTGTTAGCTGTCTCATAAATTGCCCAGAGCTTCGTTTCGTTTACGTTGAAAAGATATAGCTGCAGCCCCTCACACACAAAGCCACACACGCGCCGAGTCTTGTCAGGTCGATAAAATCCCCTTTAAAGCAATAGCTTTAAGCTACCTGTAACCAATAAACTCGAATGGAATTTTTGGCTGGTGTATTAGACTGATTGTCAAAGCTTGCTTTTCACTTTAAAGTTCAAATTTTATAGATAGATTCTATGAACATATTTGAGTCCTTTAATTGGACTCTTTAATGGATTGCAATTGACTTGTAGCGTAAGTCTTTCGATCTGAAAAAAATTTGATTAGAAGTGATTGCAATCTTTAGTCTATGAGTGGGTGAAATATTCAGGACATATGTTCTAGTTGGTAATTATAATGAAACACGCATTGATATCTGGCAATATGCTTCATTCGTGCGACCATTTGATCATAATTGCAGCCTTTCAATGTTCAGCTTCCTCCCTCATTGTATTTCCATGATTTAAGGTTTCCTTTAGACCAGCCTCCCAAAGGCCACCATTAGAAACTGATCACAATGGAGGATGTATGTATGGACTAAAGCGTTTGTATTAGGGCACAGGGAGTTGCTCAATCAGTATTAAGATCCATTTGTGACGAGAGCTTATATCGATGATCGCCTCGTCATTTCCATCCAAATTGATTATTTAAATGTATTCAAATGTCAATTAAATTTATTCAAATGCCAATGGGCGAGAGAGAAGTCAACAGATATTTCTTTAATTTTCATGAATCTCGATTAGCATTCGCCTGCCAATGAAATTGCAGTAGTACTTCAACTGCTACAGTAAGCTGCTGGCATTGCAACCAGAGATTGACTGGCTTATTCATCAAGCAGATGATTTTACTCTATTGGAAGATGAATTTGCATCAGTTGACTGTGACTCAAAAAACAAATCATGTCCAACATAAGATTGTGGTGGTGACTTATGCACGATCTGTATTCAAACCGATATCCGATTTCATGGAGGCAAGGAGTCAGCGAACTTGAATGACATTATCCATTGCCTGGGGTAAAGATGTTGAAGAGGCAAGCAAAGGGCTTATCTCTAATTCCAAACTGAATGTTCTCAATGCATAACTAAATATCAGTACAGATATATTAAGTACAAATTGTGAGTATGCTATTAGCTATTTTGTAGTTTATATTGAACCAGGACCAGGGAGTGAGTCACTATTGAGCTGAGCATGGCAACTGCTGTCGACCGATCCATTTTATAGAAATAAAAGAGCTTCAATTTTAGTGGGTTGCGCGCGAGTTGCAGTTGAAAGCTTTCGTACTGAAAGCAAAGCACAATCCATTAGATCAGGTAACTCAAGCATGGACATGAGCTTCACTTACCACCACCTCAAAGCGCTCATCTAGGCCCGGTGCCAGTGTGGCGAATTGTTGTAGCAAGGTCAACATTTCTGCATGAACATCTAGAATAATATAAAGATTGTCCATGGTAATCAGAATATCCGCAAAGTAGACGGTGGTTTCGAAAAACTGAAGCACGTTTGTTAAGTTCCAACTGGAAGAAATATTCACGCCGTTGTAGCCAACAATGCTAAAGTATATGGTAGCCATCACGGAACTGTAAAGAATGGCGGCTACACACAGGCTCTGAATACCGAAGATGCGAGCTGTACTTTGTAGAAGGTTTTGCAATTGAGATTGCGTTCGGGCTATGCCATCCAAGTGCTCGGCCAGATGGCAGCATCTTCTCATGCGAGCAGCCTCACTATGTTCAGCCTCCAGGGATTGGGCCTCTGCGAACACTGCCCTTATCTCTTGATTGAGCAGACAGTAGTGACAATAGACATTCAGATTTATAAAGTAGATATGTGAGATGATGACATTGACTAAGGCTGTCAGCGTATACAAGAGACCAATGCTGATGGCCAAGTAAATTGTCATGTAGTTTTGGAAGAAAACTAGGGTTAGTACGACTTGAGAGACTTCCGACATAAAAATGCTCACGCATTTCATAATAACTCTTCGTCGCCACATTGTCATAACTTCAGGTTTCCGCCAAGCCATTCGACTGAGCTCATTTATTAGTTTAATCAGGTGCTGGCGCTGCCACCAGCGACTGAGCAAAGTGACCAGCACGCAGCTCACTCGCGTCACGTGGATGACCAGGTAGAGGTATTCGTGTAGCACATCCGCTTTGGACCACATCGTCTCCATTAGCTCACTTTTACTCAACAAGATAAAAAAGCTGAAGAGCACAACATTTGCTAAAGCTGCGTATATCGATGCTCGCCGCGTGATGCGCGCTCGACCCGTTGTCACATCAATATCAAAGTTGAGGACGCCAAGAAGCCGCGAGTAGAAATACACCATGCGTAGCATATACTTCGTCGGTTCAACCATTTTGTGGCACTGATGTGAATTGCACTTTCCAATTGTCTGTGGGCCCCTTAGATGCAATCGACTGATTAGCTGATATGACAACCTGAAAACAACTAATTCCTTAATGGAGTGACTCTATTTAGCTATTGGATGAGCTTTTAATATAATTATGTCCAGTCTGTCCATTTGTTTATTGAAGGTGGTCGCAGTTAATATAAATATGAATTTTTGAAATCATTTTGTATCAGAACCAGAGAACTGGTTACCACTGAGCTGGCCAAAGCAACTGATTTCGACTTCTCCATATTGAAGAGTCCCAGCACAGGGATCTTCAGTGGGTTCCATGCCAGCTGCAGCTGAAAGCTGTTGAACTATATGAAAACGTAAAGATGATTTCATGTTTAGTAAATTTTATTTCAATTGTCTTACCACAATTGCCAGTCGCTCGTCCAGGCCCGGAGCAAAGATCGTGTTCTCTGAGAGCAGCCGCAACATCTCAGCGTGCGCATCCAGCAGGGAGTACATTATATTGACTGATATGTAAATGTCTGTAAAGTAGCATACGAATTGGCAGCTCAGTAGAAGTAAATTGCATACGTTCCAGTCTAGAAGAACAGCGCCTGTCAGCTCGCAGAAAGCTAAGTAGATCGTGGCTACGCCCATCATATAGTAGCTGATGGTCAAGAGCACGGTTTGCAGGCCAAAGGAGCTGGTTAGAGTTTGGAGCAGTTCTTGTAGTTGAGACTGGGTTCCGGCTATCGTCTCCAGCTGATCGGCCAGGGCACAGCACTTGATAGCAAACACAAACTGCACTCAAACTCCAGCAATCGTATCTCGGCCAGTGCTGAGCGCAATTCCTGATTGAGCAGACTATACTGAGCATGAATGTTGAGCAGACTGAAGTAGTAGTGGGCTATTATGATATTGACCAGCACTGAGAGTATGTGCACCACCAAGACAATGAGTATCAATTGAACTGTGAGGTTTTCGTAAATCTGTTGTATGAGGACGCCCGATTGTAAAACGTCCAACAGAAATGCGCTCAGAGCTTTGCTTATGACACCGCGTCTCCACAATCGCTTCACGTGGGGCTTCCGTTGGGTCAGGCGTTGGACGGCGTTCACAAGATGAATGAATTGCTGGCGATGCGTCCAACGCGTTAGCAGCGTCACGCACACGCAAAGCACACGCCCACCCAGCATCACTAGGTACAAGTATTCGTGTAAATGTTTTGCCTGCGGCCACAAGGAAGCCACCACATGCGTGCCACACAGCCGGGGCAGCCAGTAAACGCTAATACCGTTCACGATAGCGGCGTAGATCGAGGCTCGTCGTGTGATTTGCGCACGACCCGTTCGCCAATCGATCTCAAAATTGAGCAAGCCCATTAACAGTGAATAATAGTAGCCGAATCGAAGCATATAATTGATCAGGTCGAACATAGCTTAGCGCTTAGCACTACAATACTGAACGTCCCGACATAAGGAGTGATTGAGCTCAACTACAAATAACTAACAGTGGGTTGACTGCGCAGTGGCAATTATTATTTTTTATTTGGCATTGCATTACATAAACCGAACTGAGCGGAACGTTACTGACTGCATAATACGCGTTCATACACGCTCAAAGTAGCATAAAAAAATCTAAACAACTCTGGTTGACTCTAGTTTCAAAGCTTTTGAAGACATCTTTATTAGTATTACTTATTTATTATATATATATATATATATATATACATATGTGAAACGTATATACTCCTTACAACTGGCGTAATAAAATCCTTCCTATCTTCGATGCAACGTGCTTTGTTATCCCCACTTACATCTCTCATCAATTTGGCTGTCATTAATTACAGTTCGTATGTCAGGGCATATACATATGCGACAATAACTTTCACAACCCATAGACATTACACACACACACATACATTGAGAGCTCTTTGATTTGAGGCTTTCGTCGGCCATTTTGTGGCATCTTTGTACGTGTATTTTTCATTTCCGCCTCGTCGTTGCGGTATTTCCGTTCATTTTTCACATATTTTACAGCTTTGAGCCTTTGCTCATGTGTGTAAGTAGCGCGCCAAGTGCCTCATAAATGAAAACTCGCTGTGCTTTTCCATGCTTTTCTTCTCATTTTCTTCGCCGTTCCTTTTCAATTCTTTGCAATTCATTTTTCATGTTGGCGTCGCCGTCTTTGTCGTTGTCGTTGTCCTTGTCGCTGTCGCTGGCTTTGCTTTAAAGCTTTTCGTAATCCGTTTAGAAATTACGTTTCTCCTTTCAATATTATGTTTTATTCGTGCGCATTGGCTACATTGTCAATATTTTTGAACAATGAGCTGCGGATGTTGCCGTCGCCGTCGCCGTCGCCGTCCCCTTGGCCGGGCATTAATCTTAAGCGCAGTGCCAGTCAGTCACCTGAGCAGCTCAAGGCGAAAGTGGCAGCTTGCAAATACCCAAGAGTAGTAGTGCCTTTTAGTGTTTGGATTTACCTGGCCATAGCAGCAACAATAATACAAACTACTAGCTGCAGGCGCCATAAGGAGTCATAAACCACTCAGTGGGCAAGTGAAAATACCGCAAATATTTGCCGCTAGCCAACTCTGGAGCAAATCTCACTCCAACTCCAACTGCAACTCCGACTCAGACTCTGACTCTGACTACCAGCTAAGCTCTCGCTCTCTCTCTTTTTCTCTTATTGCTTTTCTTGTGGAGCTTTGGTTTATGTGCTCTACTCTTCCGCCTTTTGATATATGGCGTATACGGCATCGCATCCACCTTTCCCCAAATTGCCTTTTTCGTTAGCTGTGTTGGTTTGTGCGGGTAAAACCGAAAGTGCTGCCATTTATTTTATTGCCACCTTGGCGAGAGCTGTTGCGGCTGTGACTGCGGCTGCAGCTGCTCCGCTTGTCCAGGTGGACAGCTCGACAGCCAACGGGCAATGAGTAAAAACTTTGAAAGCTGCCATAAAATAAACGAAAAACGAACAAGAAATGCGAGAAAAACGAAGTGACCCAAATGTTTTCGTTGTATTTTTACAGCATTTGGATTTGTGCAGCATTTGGTCCGGTTTTTATGATGGGATTTTTAACGAAATTTGCTTGTCCAAATTGGAACGGTCGGTCGGAGTGTCAGTGTCAGCAAGGTTAAGCTACTCATCAGCTGCGGGTAATCCGTACTTACCTTTACCTTACCAGCCCAAACTACAAGCACTTGCCAGCTCATTTTAGCCAAGTTGTTTGGTTCATTGGTTCGATGGCATTTCCAGAAGTTGGCACTCAATGCGAAACTCCTTTGGCTCGGTCGGACAGCTGTTCGGCATGCAACCTAATTGAAAAGCAATGTTCTTACATAGTTTATGCTTAAAATACGATTACATTAATTTCACACACCACAAAACAAATGACAAAGTCAGCCCTGGGAGGGCGGACCCAAAAGGGTTGTCGCCAACGGATCGTTGCTGTCCGCAAGCTGACAGCCAAGGCTCCAAAGTAGCCTAAACTTGTTGAGAAAACTCGAATGGACAGGCACACACACACGTCCATACAGAGCGAGAGAGACCAGCTTAGATGGCAACCACTCGAAAAGCCACTCAGTCAGGTGTTAAAACTAATTTACGACAATTTGACCAACAAACAACAATAGGAACCCTTGCCATCTTGTGGGCGTATAGTAGGTGTGTCGCATCAAGTGCTTCACATATTTCACACATTGCATTGAAAAGGGTGCAAATTGGGACAGCAGCAGCAGCATCATCAACAGGCATCCAAATCGAACGCTGTGACCCAACCAACCAACCAACCATCCGAAGTTTATCCTCTTAGAGTAGAGTATTTTGCTTAACGCTGACATTTGCAGCTAGTTCTGACCGAATAAGTTTCAGTTTTCCACAGATTTAATCGCCCCAAAAAGTTCGGGCTCAAACATGCGAAAGGTGAGCTGAGTAGTTGAGTAGCCGAGTTGCTGAGTTGCTGAGTTTTACGCAAATAAATGCAATTCATTTTGCCCTAATTTTGCAGCCTCATTGCAAAATAATTTGTGTGTAATTAAAGCAGTTACGCCCCATTGGCCGGATGGGCGGTTAGATTCGCGTTAATGATTGTTGCTAAAAATTTCAAGGCGTGCACAATTAGTACGTATTACTGCTGATAAATGAAGAAACTTTCGTTGCGTAATTGACAGTGTTGTACAACGATATTTTAGCAGCAAAAGCTGTGTTGAAACTTGTAATATTCATATTCAATTACTTCGTTATCAGTGAATGCGCTGTGATGAAATTGTGTGTGAATATTTTATATAAATAATTTTTTTCGTTTTCCAACACTGCTGTAGATATATCGTGGTAGTATTGTTAGCATTTTATACATTTAAAATTCTGAAATTCGCAATACTGTTTGCTAGTGTTGCAGAACGTAACCTCTACAGTATTATACTATACAGAAGCTTTACGGTTTAGTGTTGAAAAACTATAAATTTAATATAAAATACATATGTCTACACCGAATTTCGTTAAAAGTATCTAATCTCTGTTGTGTTCCGCAGTTCATATTTATTATTAAACGCAAATAACTGTTAATTGAAAATGGAAATTAAATGAACGCCTTTTTATCACGGTAATTGCTAAAGCCAGCGCACAGCTGTCGATCGCAGACATCGTCCTGAACAAAGGACTTGCCCAGAGTGCTTCTCAGCTCGGCGTCATAGGTGGCCTTCTCCTTGATGACCAAACTGTTCATCTGCTGGCGTCTAGCTTCCTGGGCCAGCTTTTGCAAGCTCTGCAGCTCCGAGGTCATCGGGCGCAGCAGCGAGACGCGCGGTGCATTGTACGGCGGAGTTTCGGTGCCATGGCACTTCATCCAGTTGACCACGCTGAGGTTTAGTTGACTTAGTTATCTAACAACTAAATATAGTCGGGCACTTACAAGTTGTTCATTTTGGTGTATTGAAAGAAACTGTGAGCAATAACTGATGTATGTGTGAAGCCTGCAGCTCCGTTACGGACTGGAACTGAAAACAAATTGATGTTCGGCAAAATCTCTACGAATATGCCTGCTGTGTTTGGGCATGTGCCCTCATATATTATGTCTATGTGATGTCTAAAAACTCTGTGTTCAGCTAGCTCCCGTTGTAGCCCTACTCCATTCACCTGGTCGAGCGCCAATTAATTGCAGGACCATCTTAAATGGAGAAAAAAAGGTGCTCACAAAGCTAAAGCCACAGTCATTATATTATACATTTGGCCTAATGAGATTTTTTATGGTAATGATGTACAAAAGGAAAGCAGAGAAATAAAGAGAGAAAGAGGCGGAGGGGTAACCGATAGAAAGTGGGAGGAGATGTGAGGTCGGAAGCGTACTTAGCACACGCAAGCTCTTTCTTAATTATTCACATTGAACGAATATGGCATTAAATCTATGTAGAGCGAGAGGCAAACATTTTGACACCTTTATAGCTCAATAAATTGGAGTCGATTCGCAGGTATGCGAAAAACAAAAACGAAACCAGTTCATTAGAAACGCGCTGGGAAATTTTGATTACACTCGAGATGTCAAAGAGGCGGGGCCCAGGCGCTGCCAGGCGCTGCCAGGCTGACCCCAACTGCGCCGGCTGGCCTGCTGCAACGTGGCACGTAAAGTTTACAATTACCAGACTTTTGTGACTCGCATTGGAGTCATTAGAACTGAAAAGTAGTAAAGCACCAGCCGCAGACTGGTCTGCAGTCAGGCGAAGGGGTGCGGCATGAGCTAGCCAAGCAGCTCCTTGTGTAGCATGCCATTAGAGCGATATGATCCTTGACTGGCCTCGTCTCCATTCTCTAACGTCGCTTGGCTGGGCTGCTTATGAATAATGTTTTAATTTCAGGCTTCACCCGTTGCCGACGTCGCGTCGTCGTCGACGTCGTCGCTCGCGCTTGGGGTTCGTTTGCCCCTGTGGCACGCAATTGCATGTTGAATGCATATGATTCCACCGATGCCCATACCAAAGATGACGCTCAACTAATATGCGAAAATTATGGGTTGTAATTTAAGAGGCACTTTTGCTTATTTTTTAATGACATCCCATGTTTTTACAAGTACCTTAGAGTTTAGTTTCAAGCAACATTCATAATCGGCTGTCTGAACCGACAACTGTGTGTGTGACTTGGCGCGAGTTTGCGTCGCTTAGGGGCATTCATACTAATTAATGGAGCTCTGTATACTATAAGAAGACGTACAGCAAACAACGTAAAAACATGAAAATTGACTGCATTTTGAAATGTGAAATTAATTTTAATTTATTTGAGTATTAAAATAAATAAATAAAAAATATTTAGTGAAATCAATTTTAGCGTTTAAATTTCCATTTTTAAATTCTATTTGAACAATTTTCATGAGCTCGAGCGGATTTAAAGCAGGCGCGCAAAAGTATGCAACAGTTTTGTGTGCAGCCTGCATTTAATTCCAGAGAGCAACCATTTTGCTTTTTGCGGCCGCTTCCGTTTCCGCCGCTGAGCTGAAATTCTGTTGCGTTTTCATGAATGTGGCTTTTTCTACTCGCTTTTTTGACTGTTTTTCTGATTTTGTTTGGATTTCATTTGATTTGGCAGCTGGTTATTTTTGCAATTGGATTTGTCGCCCAAATTCCCAACATTTCTGACATTTGCTCAGCGGGGAATTTGCAAGTGTTGTTATTGCATTTATTGCAATATTTATGGTTTCTGACGCAGTGTCAGATGCAGTTGTGAAACCAATCGAAATAAGAAACAGGCGACAGCCAGCTATTCGGACACGAATTCTACATGAAATTAGGTATGTACCTATTTAAGCTGGCTGGGCGTGGCTACGGCAGAGGCAACGGCAACTGCAATTGCCGCAGCCTTCGGCCTTTGTCTACCTCAATGTTTGCCCAAGATGCAGCGACACTCGCAACGTGCCCGGGGCTCTGTTTAATATGCACTCAACTGGCTCGACATTGTCGAAGTTTCGCCTTTCACATGCGTTCACTCGCACCTCGGCCGTAAAGAGGAAGAGCAGGCAAAGGGCCTGTAACTGAACGACTTTTCACTAAAAATAAGTGTTGTGCAAACATTCTGCGGTTATAGAAATTCTGCTGCAACATCATCTTTGTTTCCTCCCCCAAATGGAAAGAGGGCCATGTTTGTCAAACTATGAACTAGGTCCTGTGACACTATGTGTGCCACAGCCAAAGATGTTTAACACTTGCAGTCATTCAGCCAGCGGGGAGGTTAGCCCTATTGACACGCGCTCTTCGAGGGCAGTTGGGCAAATGGAGTATAAGCGGGGCACTAATTGATGTATTGAAACTAGTTTATGCTAAGCTAACGCAGCTTTAAGAACATTCCTTAAGGAACATGCCAAAGGTGTGCTTATACCTAGTGCCTTATCTGGAATGGCTTCTTCTCAAAGTTGATAACTCAATTTGTTAGAAATCTTAGATACCCCATTTCAACTTATTTTGACTTAATTTTTCTACTTTGTCTTTCAAAATTACAAATTTACAAATTTACAAATTTTGATTTTAACAATTTTCTATCACTTTTTAATTGCACGAGCTGTATTTTATGTCTACAAGTAACTTTTCGGACTAGTTTTTTGTCAAAAAAGGCAATATTAAAATTTCCTTCATATTTCAGTTGCTGAATTGTTCAGAAATTATTTGCACGCACACATCTGTATCTTTCACCAACAACTTTGTTGTAAAAATCAAAATTTTTTGAGCACCGTCACAAGGGTTTCGGTCATGGATTTCCTATCCATAAATCAGCAGGTGTACATACGTCGCTCCGATGGCCGGATCCATCAGGCTGGCATCATCAAACTGGACGGGAGCTCCAACAAAATTGTGACTGTGGAGTGGATCGAGGGGAACGTAACGCGCGGCAAGGAGGTGCCGCTCAATACGATAATCAAGCTCAATCCGCAAATTTACCATTCGTCTTCGATAACACGAGCAGTAAAAACCAATACATTGGCGTCCATACCGCCGCGGCCGACTCATGCACAGGCCAACTCCCAGGGCCCTAATGGATTAGTGGTACCACGACAACGAATAACCATTTGCAAAATGCCCGCGAAGGCACCGACTATAACCGATTCTACCAAGGCTGATGTTGTCGTAGAGATTGAGCGACTTCGTGCCAAGCGCGAACTACGCCGCCAGCTGCATGATGAGACGCGTGCGTTACGTCAGTCGTTCAAAGACGCAGATCCCAACAATCCGAACTGGGAAATAGCACGCATGTTACGCATGCATAGACTGCAAATGCACTTCCAGCCGCCGGAGAGCTTTGCATGCACTCCGATCAAGCAGCATCAAATATTGGTGTGTGTGCGCAAGCGTCCGCTGAACCGACGGGAGCTGAATAGTTACGAGGTGGACGTGATTAGTGTGCCCAACACGGAGCTGTTGGTTGTTCATGAGCCGCGGAAACAGGTCAACCTGACCAAGTTCTTGGTGCATCACAACTTTCGCTTTGACTACACTTTCGACGATGACTGCAGCAATGCCCAGGTCTATGAGCGGACAGCAAGGCCGCTGGTTCGACACATCTTCGAGGGGGGCATGGCCACCTGCTTCGCCTACGGCCAGACAGGCAGTGGCAAGACTCACACCATGGGCGGCGAATTCACGGGCAAACAACAGAATAGTCGCGATGGCATCTATGCCCTCGCTGCCGGCGATGTTTTCCAATACCTGCATCAGTCAAAATATGCTCATTTGGGTCTCAGCGTGAGCTGCAGCTTCTTCGAGCTGTATGGCACCCGGTTGTACGATCTTCTGATGGCTGGCAAGCCGCAACTGCGAGTGCTGGAGGATGGCAAGCAGAAGGTGCAAGTGGTGGGCCTCACCGAGAAACCAGTGGACAATACTGATGACGTACTGAAGTTACTGGACCTGGGGAATAGTGTGCGCACCTCCGGCCAGACCTCAGCCAACTCCAAGTCATCTCGTTCGCATGCCGTCTTTCAGATAGTGCTGCGCGTTGACTCAACGCATCAGTTGCATGGCAAATTCTCGCTTATCGATTTGGCGGGCAATGAGCGCGGCGCAGACAATAGCAGCTCGAATCGCCTAACGCGGCTGGAGGGCGCTGAGATCAACAAGTCCCTGCTGGCGCTTAAGGAGTGCATTCGGGCCTTGGGTCGTCAGTCGACACATTTGCCTTTTCGCGGTTCCAAGCTGACCCAGGTGCTGCGCGACTCGTTTATTGGCGGCAAAAAAGTGAGGACTTGCATGATAGCCATGATCTCGCCCAGTCTACGGTCTATGGAACATACGCTGAATACGCTACGCTATGCCGATCGTGTCAAAGAGCTGACGGTACACTCCCTGGTCAAGGAGGGACTGGAACCCGTGCTCGATATGAATCTAGGTCAAAGTAACTCGTTGCCAGACATTAAGAACCAAGAAAATCAACTGAGTGGATTCTCCTCAAACGCCTCATTACCTGGCATTGACAACCATGCTAACCATGTGCACAGCATCTGGAATGCTTATACGGTCGGCACGGCCCTGGAGGACGAAAATCTAGCGTACTTCAATGAGGCCACCGACAACTATGATCAACATGTTCCAAGCACAGAAGCGACATAGTCTAATATTCGAAATAGCACAAGTAAAATATTAAGCATTCGAATGGAATCCGATGGTGCGACTCAGAGACAAAAACAAATACTCAGAAAAAACCAAAATTTGGCATAACGGTAAATAAAGTGGAGCTTTTTTATGTTTCTACTGAATGCCGTCGAATATATTTTTACCCACATGTGAACTCTAGACACGCTTCTAAGTGAGTGTTCATATGATTTCATTCAATGCCAAATTTGGACTGAAGTCGAGCCGAAGGCAAATGCGAGTATTTTTCCGCATAGTTGCGCATTAAGCCAAAACTTACTTTTCCTTTCAATATTCGTTCAGAATCTCTCACAATTTTTTCTTTCTTCTTCCGTGGCTCGGCACATGGGGGAAGGGCGTCAGCGACAGCTGTCAATATACAATATTGAGGATTATGATGGCAAAGACACGTCTTACGCGTAAGCTTTGTGTCAATATATTAAATTATGGCTTAAAGGCTTTGCCCGGGCGACTTAGTGACGTTCAACTTTTTGGCTTTTTGCGCAAATCCGCCAAACAACGGCCAAACTTGGGGGCCAGTTCAGGCCGCGACCAGGTCTGCCATTCAACATTAATGCGAGCTGCGAAATTTAATTTGCCTATGCATTCAGGCAGGTAGATAAATGTTAGTGTTTCTTTTTTTTGGCGTAACTATTTAATTTGCAATCAAGCCGATAATAGATACAAATATTTGCATAATGCATTCAACTGAAAACATTTCAATTTTGTTATGCATCCAAATAAATATTTATAACTTATCTGCAAATAAGTGTGCGAAACAAAATATTTGTGCAGCAAAGTTATGCGGCAGCTGCAACTTTTGCCATTAACATTAAAAAGCAATTAAAATTACTTTAATCAACTAGAAGGCAAAATAGTATGCAGGCTTCCTCTCTCTCTCTATCTCTCTCTCTTTCACTCTCCTACACAGCCTCCTGTACGCTTTCTGTCTTGCTCCAACTTCTTCGCTTCATGTTGCTCATACGCACTGTGCTCCGTCGCTGAAGTTTAATAAACGCAAAAGAACTTGCACTTAACAAAGCTGATGAAGGGAAATCTTTTTAATTAAAAAGCAACTGTTTGCCACCATATTATGGTTACGCCCACTTCCCACATTCTGCCACTATAAATTACATTTTTTGCTCACATTTCACTGAAGCTAATTTTGCTTTATTTGCGCTGAAGTCATCATTTTCTCCTCTAGAAATTTATCTGTTATATATATTTTGCTCGTGAGCGTTAGTGCAGAACGACTTCGCAAGTTTGCATTTAGTTTGAGATTATACAGCAGTAATAAGATTATTTTATTTTGCGTAACTGTCAAGTCTTATAAACTAAAATGTGTTGAACGCTTGCTGCTAAATAATCAGCTTGATAAACAAAGTTAAGATTAAGACTTTTTGTTTATTCGTTTTTTTCTTCTTGATATTCGTTTTGCGCTGCTTTATATAAATCAATAAGAATTGCCGGACCTAAAGTGCGAAAGTAATAAAATTCAATTCAAGAAAATCAGGTTGGCGTATTTTATTTGATTTACAATTTCTTCTCGTTTTTGTGGCAAGCACATTTTGTGCCGCTGGCAGCCACGCCCACTTTGCTGGTGCCTTCAAGTGTGACAAGTGTGATAAGTGTCGGGGAAAGCAAAGTGAAATGAGTCGTACAATTTGTCATAACTGCGAGGGATGTCGAGATAAAAGCTCACAAGTAAGCACAGCTGAAGAACCTCGATTCGATTTGCGAGCCAGAGGCATGTGTCGCCGACCGGAACTAGGTCGAGGTCGTGTCTGCCACAAGGCAATCAGTTGCACAATTGGCAAAAAAAAAATAACATTTGTCTCTCTCACTGTATTGCTTTCTCGCTCTCGTACATGCATTCTATTTGTCTCTCATTAATGAGCTGTCAACAGACGCTGAGAAAAAAATGCCTCTGGCCAAACAAATTTGTCGCGAGAGTTTCATTAGCCAATGACTGTCGACTGTAGACTGTCGACTGTGTACTGTGGACGTTAGTCAACACTGTCACGGGGCTTTGCACTTAATGAAGCTACGAATTGGCACAATAATTTGAGGTTTTACAACTCATTAATTTGGTGGACAAGCAGCTGCCATTCCCATAACCATATTTATCTAGATCGCTTTGAGTTATATATTTCGTGCAAGAATCCAATTTAAAACAGATCCTTTGAGCTGATTGAGAACTTTCACCAATTAAATCAACTCAGCAGAGGCCTGCAGCAAAGTTTTCTGTCTCTCACTTAATGCGGTGTTGAGCAATGCTTTCAACGACGATTCAAAAAGGGTAAATAATATAAAACAATAAGCAGACAGCTCCGCAGAGAGCTGGAGCATGAGGCAAATTGAGATGCCGAGACTTCGAGGCTGATACGAATAAAAACTTGACGCATTTTTATGTGTTCGCATTATTTTTGCCACTGTTTGCAGTTTATTACATTTTGACAAAAACACACAAACGAAAAAAAAAACTTTGTCGAATTTCCCCAAAACAGTTTCAGTTACATTTTCCGCTACGACTTCCTACTGTCTGAGTAGATATGCCTTTACATGTGTGTGTGTGTGTGTGTGTGTGTGTGTGTGTGTATGTGTGTGTATGTGCGTATATGTGGAGTGTTCCCCCTAGAAAACAAGTCGAGTCGAGACGCAGTAGCAGTTTATTGTTGTTTGGCTAAATTATGTTGTTCTTGGTTTTACTGCATAAATGGGTAACAAGAAGCAGCAGCAAAAGAAGAAGAAGCAGAGCAACTGCTCGCATCGTAAAGCATCCAAAACTTTGCAGTCACCGGGTGCTATCAAGTAAATTTGTAACAGTAAAAAGAGTCAATAAAGTTTCACAGCTCATTGTTCATTGTTCATGGTACACTTGGGCCTGCCGCCACGATAATTCGCATCAGTTTTGAAAGTGGGAAATCAATATGAAATTTATGAGGCCACAGAAAACTTTACCCTCCAAGACTGGACGCATGTCAAGGTCAAGTGTGAAGCGACAAATTTAAATTAAAAATAAAAACACAAAAAATATTTATATGTATATAATTCATTTTATACACTTGATGTGTTGCCCTTGCTGTGCCAGTGGCTAGGAAATTGGCTCAAAGTCACGCGATTTATTGTGGTCCTTGCTTGAAGTATTATTTTTTCATTTAATTGCTTTGACTGGCATTTGCGGCACTCATGTTTTGAGGGCACTTAGTATTGATTGAAATGCAATGAATAGCCAAAATACAAAGAACTGAAAACATTAATTGCAGTTGACTCATAATAATAATTAATGAGATGTCGAGTGAATAATTGGCAGCATAATTAATATATTTATTTATTTATATACCATGATGTGAATGAAATAGTATTACTTAACTCAATTGGACATATAACTCTGGCTTACCTCAAACAAATAAAACGAGCTCTATAAACTTATAGGAACTTTTTTGTTCGGCCCTAATGGACGTGAATCTCCCGCTGTTCGCTGGATAATGCGTTGACTTAATTGCCCTTGCCAAAAACTGAAAGTCTTTTCAATTTGATGCACTTCCATAACTCAGACACACACAGGCGGACAAAGAGGAATAGTGACATCATTTTCCCTTGAATGTACGAATGTGTTTGCTAGTAGTGGGGTTGCCTGAAATGAATGCACCCCTCTGATTTTGGTGGCAGCGAATTTAGTTATTATAAGAGCATAATACACAAATATGTCCTTCCTGCTGGCTGTTGGCCCACACGCTGTCCTGGCTGGTATCTCTTACAGCCATTATTCGGGGCCTCCTGCAGCGCATTTGCATGTTAGTTGTGGGTAAGGATGAAGCAGTCCACTACTAGCTTAGACATTATAGCAGGGTAAAAAGGGTATCATATAAAGAACAGTATCTTGTGACATTAAGTAAACGTAAAGTTTAGAGTTCATCTGCAACTATTCATATATCAGTCGAATTAACATTGAATTGGTCTTTTGTAGGCCTCGACTTAAAGTCTCAGACTAGAAGCTGGAGGCAGATGATTTACGATTTTATCTATATAATATGACGTGTATTACAGGGTATTTAATAGTCGATCAGTTTGTTACTCATAAGTCGCGTCTTCTTTTTGTAAATCATTTTATTTGCGAATATGCATATTTTTCTTCGCAATGGGTTGTTGTCGCCTCTTGGTTTTTGCCGAGCAGCAGAGTGAAAGAGTACCGGAAAGAGGCAGAGAGAGAGAGGGAGAAAGGAGAGACAGGGAAAGGGAGTGTGGCAGACATGCATAATTCAAAACGTGGCGGGAATATTTTTGTGTGCTTGCTCGTGTGTTGGCCACTTTTTATGCTGGTAATTCGACTATGGGGACTTTGGCCCATGTGATGTGTGGTTGTGTGCATGTGTGCATGTGGGCGTGTGGACGTGTGTATGTGTGTGTGTATGCGTGTTAACGCAATTTTCGCTGAAAAAATCCGCTGCTCGCCGACGACTACTTTACCGTTCTTACCCACTTGTTTGACATATTTTTCACACAACGTCTGCTTGTTAAATTGTTGGCGGCAATTTTGAGGTTAGCGTGACACCGACCCACGCAAGGATACACATCCACACACACGTACACACTCCCACACACACACAATGGAATAAAGTTTATGTCTGTACAGTTTCCAGGCGCATGTTGGCAAGTTAACTCGCAGTCAGAGATTTTCCTGGTCTTTTTTAGTTTCACACTTCTCACATTTTCCCCCTGTGTAACTTGCCCCTTAGTCTTGAGTCAATTATCGTGCAATGTATTTTTCATAAATGCAAGGGATTTTATAAGAGGGTTCTTAAACGGATGTTTTAAGCTGTGATTCATTGCCCAATAAAGTCTTAGCTTAGAGTATTAGAAATATCTCTGGAAATAGCTTCTAAATTTGAACTTCCTTTTAATTACTAATATATACATATTTTCGCAGCACTGACAGTGTTGATAAACATGCAAATTGAGTTTATCTACGGGCGCTTTCCAAACGTTTTCCATGTTGCTTCACGCGAACTGCACAAAAGTGTTTGCATGTCTAGCGCTTGACGGCTTAATACGGCGCGATTTGGGTTAAGACAAGGCAACGCCCCTGAAGCTCGCCGCTAACAAATGCATTGGACTCAATG